TCAGGCTAAAGCGTGTCTAATTAGCTAGTGGATAATAAATAAGTACTGAATTCATAAAAAAAGTTAATAACAATAACTCTTGTAAAACTTCGAATTTTGCGAAATAGCTCAAATTATATATATTTTTTTTATGATTCTAAACCGAATAAAGTGATCTTGACCGTCCAATTTTGGGTGGCCCACTTGAGAGTTTTTCACTCACTATTCCATTTTGTATTGTATTTGTATATTGCTAAATTACGTATAATTATAATTTTGTAATTTTACAGAAGCTGCAGTGGATTGCCCTCTATTTGGTGGTCCGAAGAGTATAGAGGAGTTTAAAGCTGCAATGCTGGCAAGCAAGCAAAGGTACCGAAATAAATTAAAAAAGAAAAACTTGTGGAAGCTGATAATGAGCACACTTTGTCCAGAAAAGACATCGAAGAAGAGCTTGCTTCAACTAAAGATAGCTCGGCTCTTGAGTTGTCGGAGGGAGAGATGGCAGATTGGGACTCTGACGATTAAAATTTTTTTAAATAAAGTGTATAACACAGTTCCTGTTGTCCTTATTGGACAGGAACGTTTGTGACGTGGGCAGTGGATATTAAAGACAACCTTTGATTCTCATTTTCGTTGTTGGTGTTTCCGACAGGGTAGGAGTGTGATGTAATGTGGAACGATTTTCCGTCATCCCTTGTCAAATTTCCAAACCAAATTTGACAAGGGATGACGGAAAATCGTTCCACATTACATCACGACCTTTGATGGTTAAACTTAAACAACTGTTTGAGTTGGCTGGTAAATTTCAACTGACTTTATTGCAAATAGCTTTTTAGTTCCTCTGCATAAAATTTGACTTACAGCTACGTGCTTAATCCACATACTTTTTGTTGTACTTAATTATATCAATTGAATGAAAATAAAAAAATAATTTATTTTAAAACCCTCAGAAGTTAGCACCAAAGAAAATTTTTATTTATTTATTTTATTTATTTATTTGAACAAAACTGGTGGTACAAATAAGATAAGAATCTTTTTAAAGTACATCAACTTCATTTGGTATTTTATTACAGAGTAACATATTAAATTAAATTA